AAACTAGATTGGTGTTGAACTAGATCTTTTATTACTCATCATAAATGACGTCACACAAAATGGCAAAGGGTGTGTCAAAATCTATTTGAAAATATACTATTTACTTCGACTCTATAAAGGTTCGTAATAACATACGTTACGTTACACATGTTACACTGCGAGCATTTATAGTCAGTGCCTAGTGTTACGGACATAAACCAGAAAGTGTTTATAATGAATGTGGATAGCTACAAAGGATCAGGAAGACAGAAGAAAGTATGAATGGATTGTGTGAAAGAGGATATGCTTAAGAAAGGATTGGATTCAGTTATGACGGCTGATAGAGATGTATGGAAGAGCAGCAAATACTGTGCCGACCCTCCATAAGGGATAAGGGTAAGTTGATGATGATGCCTAGTGTTACAGAGAAAACAACGAGTCGACGCAATTCTTACATTTCACCGTGTAACATCGATCAGTTGGCACGTTAAGAGTAAATAACTTATTTTCAAAATGTTGACCAATCCGGTAATAATAACGAAGTAACGGCTCATGCCGAGGCTCCTGAGGGAGCCCTCGAGCTTAGTATAAACAAGTAGCATAAACGAGGTTTAGGCTGTGAATCTGTAAATGCCTCTTCAAGGAAAACAGTGGCCATTCACAAAAAAGTAGACATGTTGAAGATAGTCGGATTAGTTATTAAGTAATTTCCGAACTGCATACATCTTACGATTCCAACGCGGCAATTTATTTCTATTTTACCGTTGTTTTATACATATTTAATCAATGGGAATACATAATCAAGAAACATGTTCTTCTAGTGAAATTAGTTTGTCTTTGTGATATACGGATTTTATTGACTAATAAGCGATAATTGTTTGTACAGCCGGTTCGCTTACATCTGTACATTTGAGTAGATCTTTCAATTTTAAAGAGGGTTAATGGTTTTCTTGTGCGATTAATCAATTTTTATGGAATTAAATAGTTTTAAAACTTAAAAGTTCATGAGATTTAATGAGGAATTAGAGATGAAGATAAGATATCTTTTAATTAGTATAATAATTTGAATTTTATGCTCATTCACAAATATTTACGTTATCAAACGGATCTCGGTAAAACGACTTCTGGCCTTTTAGATTTATGTGTAAACGGGTCTGTGCAGATCTATCCGAAAGCTTTTGATTACGATTTACAAATATCTGAAAGTGAAATGATCTAACATTACTAATGATAGTTATTCGATAAAGGAAAATAACAATTTACATGAAAAATCTATTAAATTGTAAATCTGCTTCCCATTTTTTTATTTCTACACTACATCTTTCTAAGTTTAAATATCGAATTACTAATAATTCATGGATGAATTTGATCAATCTTTAAAAACAAATACAGAGCATTTACAGCCAATGTATTCATTTATGTGAAATCAAACGATCTTAATTTATAACTAAGACTACATGATTACGAGCAATCTACTCGGAAATGAGCAGGATATTTCTCCAATATAAAGATTTACATGATGAAGGATTCAATCGAAGTAAAGTATGCAATCGTCAAACAGTACGGCACAAATTTCCTTTCACTCGAAACAACAAATTCACACGTTCATTGTATTTACGATCAATTAAAACAAAGTTGCACCGCGCTGGAGGTTCTGGAAACCGGATTGATATTACTTTCGATGACTGAAACCGAGCTGTAGTGAGATGTATTGAAGTATACCGACCGTTAGCATTCCAAGACGGGGCGTCACATAGATTTGCATATTCATCAGAATCCGTGGATAGGTGAATTTTGTATCCGTTACTGATGCACCATTCATCTCACGTAGTATCGTAAATTCTGGTAAAACGAGCTACTCGTATGTTTTATTCATAGTAAGTACGCATTAACTTTGCCCGTTTACAATTCAACGTCGACTTGAACCTTGAAGCGGAATGCGCAAATACTAATTTACAACAAACAAAGGTCAAAGAAAGCTGAAGCTCTAAATGTAAATTATCTAGAGGCTTGTTTACAACAGCAACTTTTGTAAAAAATTAAGTTGAACTACGTTCTGGTCACTTAATAGATTTTGTAGATATAACAAAAATGAATGACCAAATAAATAAAGACATATAAATAAACCGTATTAAGAAACAACAAAACATTGAGGTGGATAAAACCATCGCAAATCGCGACAATTATAGATGGAACCACAATACAAAACTAGGCCAGTCAGTAATTAACCATGAATAATTGAGCCCAACAACACGCACAATGGCTCTCACGTGGTTGTCGGATTCTCACGAACTTTCTCAAGTCATTGCAGGACGAGAGTTCGACGCCTGTCGGAACTCTTCATAATATAAGGCTTAATGAACACTATAGCTTTGCTTTTATGTATAACAGGAGAAATCTTCAGTCATGAAGTTTCCTATGCCTATCTTTTAGTGTTTTCCCTAGTTGAGTTTGGACAATTTGTATAAAAAATTAAAATCCTTATAAATAAGTTAACATTAAAGTTAAGATAGTGGGGATACTTAAATTTGTTTTTGGATTATTTTAGTATTTGTTTCATTAATAATGTCTGGAAGAACACAGGCTACTTACTAAGTTTTTTTTTAATTCAGTACGGGTGGGGTCGCGAGCGAAAACTAGTTTCAGTAAAAAATATTTAAGTCATGTTTCATCAAAACAAAACGAAGTAAAAACAAAGGTAAAGCATTATCGACGAATGCAATATTATTTCATTTTACTTCAACATATTCTGCAATCTCATTATGTTGAATTACGTATTCTTATCCGTGTTGGAGATCAATACGAAACAAGAGCCATTGTTAGCTCCTAGGTCGCGTTGTTACATCGTGATACTAATTTCCTTCTGCGGTTCGTTTTGAATTGTTATGGTTTGATCTTGATGCACTTGCAATTGATTTTATACCTTTCATTATTCTTTGTAAAATATTTACGATTTTTAAACAACATTGTTGGAAAAACTAATTGGACTCATGTGAATTGATTCCAGTGCGTGATCTAATTTGAACGGCAATTCCTGGATGCGAAAATTAGAGAACTAAACATTATAAGTATCAGGGGAGGTCTACATTCAGCTGAGGAGTGATACAGTCTGAAGAAAGGATATATTAGTGAATCAAAAGTAGGGAACACATATGTAAATTTATATCATAGTGGGACATCAATTGAATGTTTAGCTACAATGTTAGTAATAAACTTGAATAGTCACTGTAACGGATGCTATACACACAACCAGTGTAGGCAACGTTTGCATGAATAAGCCCACCGCATGAATGGGACGGGGAATATAGCATTATAAATGTTATAGTTTATGTGCAGTATTATGATCTGTTTATTATGGACTATTATAAATGGAAATCTAAAGTCACTGATAAGTAACCATTGGCTTATGTTTATAAACTTAACGTAGCTCAAGCGAGTGGTTTTACCGGCAGTGGATTCCCCAAGACTATTGGGGAAGAATCAATCCTTAAACGTAAATGAATGAGTGTAAATTAAATAGAGTTGGGTTTTCAGGATAAGATCATTTAAAGACGAATTTGTACAATGTAGCATTGCACTGTACCGACTGCTCTCCGTACCAACCGTACCGGCTACTATCCGTACCAACCGTACCGGCTACTGTCCGTACCAACCGTGCCGGCTATCGACCGTACCGGGCGTACCGAGCTTATCCGTATGTTTTTACAGTGCGGTCCAGTTGCGGGCGTGCAATATGTCCGCTATGTGTGTATGTGTGCCGGCGGACGCGCGTGCGATGCGATGCGCTCAAATGGAGCGGACGTTGACGACGAGAAAGTCGCGGGCTTCTTGTGATAGCGATACGCCCGCTTGCCCGACCTCCGCAAGGACGGGCCGATTCTGGTTACTTAACGTTATAGGTTGCCTTTTTGTTATCAGACGGAGATGCACTAACATAGTTTTGAGAACTTCACTTTATTAGGTTTGCGATCTCACTTTTTATTTCACAGTAAAAATGAACCAATTAACTATTATTTTGAGGTATGTGTTGATTATTTTATTGTTAAGACAAATTATAAGCCTTTTTTTATTATAATTTTGTGTTTTATTCTATTTTATAAATTGATTTGAAGAACATACCTTAAAACATGATTTACTAATTGTTTAAAGGGATCTTATTTGTCAATATATTTTATTGTTTTTAAAAACCAATAATAGTACTAAAGAAGTTTATAAAACTAGATTATATCTAGATGAAGTTCAACAAAAACCTATATCATGTTTAAAACCGTTGCGTTCGCCGAGATCTACATTTTTTTTATAAAATGAGGTTGAACGACGGAAAAAGCAGGTCTAAATGAAGATTCATTTTCAATGCGAGAAAACTCAACTCAGCCTTTATAAATTGCAGTTTACTCTCGACTCTTTAGAAAATCGTTTGGCTTTCCTCTTCGTGTGGGAAATACTTAAATATGTTTGAAAGTGATTATAGTAAGTAAAATTGTATCTAAATGTAACAGTGGTAGAGCCAGCTTAACATCTTCGATGTAGGGCCGGCTACCCCGCTGCAATACCACGACCACACAGAAGACAGACGTGAAGGGGAAGTTATTACGCGAATTCTGATGAGTGTATGTCGGAAGCTTAATTTTGGAATATGATATATGCAACAATTGTAGCTTTTAAATACGTCATATTAGGCAATAGAAATCTTAAATTCCGATGTAGGCATAATTATGTCAATATTGGCTGAGCCAGCATCTGAAGCGGCTGTACGATTATGCCAGCTCGTTTCTTAGGATCTACTAG